CTAAATATGATATGAATGAGTAAAAAATATTAGACACACCAAACGTGCTGGGAGAAACATAATAAGGTCTTAATCCTAAACAAAAATTATAGACAACTAAGGAATACCAAGAGTCAGAGAAATAGTCTTCTACAAGGAAGAGCAAATGAATCAAACATCAAATATCAAATGGTCACCCTCAAAAATATACAGTGCAGTAGCCTGATATATTCTGATCTGTCTTTAGAAATATATATATATAACATATATGCATAAAAATATATATGCATGTAACAATGTTTTATTTTTTTACTTTTCTGATTAACCTTAAAATTTATATTTTTATTTAATTTTTCTATATAATTTAATATATAATTTCCTTTTACATACCAAGCCCTGTTCCCCTTACTCATTTTCTCCCACTCCCCCCACCTACCCCCATCCCCTCTTCATAGAGAGTAACACCTCCCTTGGGTAGTCAACAACTGTGGCTGTTAAAAACAATTTTATAAACATCTCATGAATTTGAAAAGGAGGAAGCAGAGTTATGTGGGAAGGTTTGGAGGTAATGAAGGAAAAGAGAAATTCTCCTGGGGCATGAGTTTGCATATTATAATTTCAAAAATAGATGAAGTAAAAAAAAATTAAACCAAGCATCCCAATGTAAGATATTTTAGAATAAGCTGCAAGAAAATACTTTTGGATAAGATGTGTGAAACTTCACACAAAAGGGTATATATTTATAGTAGAAGAGAAAATCTCTTAAAATCCAAATTGTGAAACATAATACTCATATGATACATGAATTTATATCAAATTATTAATGTAGAAAATGTTTGTATTTTGGTTAAATTTATGTTAAATCTACTTTAACATATCAAGTCAAACACATTTTTAAGTAAATGGGAGGGACTTGTTCTTCATCACATAAATACCTAGAGATAATACCAATTTAAATTTGGAAGGATAACATCCACTATATATAACAGGATTTGACATATGGGAGAAAATATGGCTCACCCAGGGTAAAATCCTAGCACTGACTATGGTAGGAGTTTGATCCAAACACAACATGGTGAGAGGTGAAGTTATCCCTGCACAGATAATCTCTCACATGCATGTGAGACCTGAGGCATGAGTGTGCATGGCCACACACAAAAATTGTGGTTAAAAATGCTTTGAAAAGTCTATACCATGGGCATTTAAGTCATGTTGTCTAGAAAAGATAACATATTAATCTGAAGGTCGGTATAAAATTTTAATGTTCATACATCATATTATATCAGTTATAGCCTTAAAGTGAAATCCATTTAGTAATTTTAAAGACACAGAAACCAATGTAGTGGAGTGAAATTCCTGCCCACAGCTTATTTTGTAATCTTGATAACTGAGATGAGTATTTCTAAGCATGTAAAAATTCAGAAACAATTGAAAAGAGACAAAGAGACAGAGGCTCAGAGACAGATGACACATTCCCTTTTGAATATACATATGCACTCTCAAACTGTAATAAAGGATGCAACCAGAAGCCCTACAAAATGATGTTAGTTCTGAGATATGTATACTTCTTGTATCCCAACTTGTTTGAAAAAATTTAGGCAAGTTGTTATACAATGGTAGATTTTGAGGGAGAAAAGGAAAAAAGGAAAGACAAACATATTAATCTTTTATAGTAACAAAAATATTTCCTTACCACAAACTTAGTTTGATTTTATTTCTGACTTAATACAAAACAGCACTACATGGCCACAGTCATGTCAATGTGTCTTATGAACAAACCCATCAAAATAAGATTAAAAAAATTGTTAAAAATGCATGGAACAAACATGTAAAATGAAAAACATGTCTGAGAGTAAAAGATTAGCAAATACCTAATTTAATTAACAAAGAGCCTTGCAGACAGGCAGAGATGTTTAAACACAAAGAAGTATTCCCACCTTCTAAGTCTGACACTCTTACTGCTAAATCAGTGGCATCTAACACATGCAAATTTGTGACTATCTTCAAATCCTTCTGTAGTAACTGCTTTAGGGGGCATCACCTCTTATCACAGGAGTACATCTAGAATTCTGGACTGCCCTGAAAAGGCAGGTCAATCTGTGATAAAACCATCTTCCCTCTAAAGACATAACATGAAAAACATGTGTCTGTAAAGGCATGGCCAAGTAAGATCACAAGATTAAAACTATCATATTTGGAAATAATAGTTACTAAACAAGTAACCTTTTTGTATCATCTTTGAGAAAAGAAAACAAAAGAAGGCTAACATACAATTAAATAAGGACTTTCAGATTGGAGAAAGGTTTTCCTCATAAACATAGGAATTTTAGAGTTTTGAACACATATATCACCTAGGTCATATGTAACATGAAATCTGAAACAGGTTAAATGGGTTACAAGACTTACTGTATGTGAAGGTCGGTGAAATAGTACAGCAGATTAGGATGTGGAACTTTGTTACCTGTGTAGATAGTGTGAACTGGGAAAAATACTCCAATGACCACATCTCCTTCATGGTGAAAATCTTCTTTGATTCTGAAATAACATTCGGAGGAGCTATAGGCATATACCTGACTGTGGTTAAACAAGATTCTGATGATAATAACCAAAATAAAACATCCTATTAACACACTTGTCTGCTCAGACATAAGTCTCATGGATCCAGATCTCACAGTGTCCAGCAGGTTTTTACTTAGCTCTGGTGTTTGTGATCATACGTACTTCTAACTTTGTTGATGAGTGAGGCTGTCACAGTAATCACTCTGAGTGTTTTCTTATACCCCCTCCACTGCCACTGAGAATTCTGGAACTTTCTTCCCTTGGGCTCTGCATCTGAGGCCCTATATCCAGGTGAAAAACAAGCTGGAAATTATATTTATAAATTTTCTCCTGTACCTGTAAGCACCATGATTTCAGCTAAAACAACATGCAGTAAGTACGAGCTCAGAGATGAAGTCATCTTTGGTTTATTTGGCCATAAGAATGAAGCAAGAAACTTTTCATATGAAAACAACTGAGGTTGTTGTAAACAGGCTATATTAGATGATGGCATTCCAAGTGGGAATGTAGTGGGAAAGAGACAGGGCCAAAATCCCATGCTGAATGAAACCCATGAGAATGATTGAGACATCATAATTTACAAGACCAAAGGAAACAAGTAGATTCTCCCTTGCTTAGGGTCTGTTTATCAGAGTACCTTTCCTTCTATGATACATCCAAACATGAAGATCAATGTAATGTCCACACCCAATACAATCCATTTATTTCTCACTTTGAGAAAATTAATGGTCCTACTAAATTAATCCATTCCAAATGAGCTAATAAATTCAGAAATGAAATTTCTTTTTCAGATTCTGGGCTTTGAGCTACTGCTCAACCGCTGTCCTAGTTAATACTTAGTAAACCGTTGAGTCGATAAGTTGTTCTAATCTATACCTAGTAGGTTTACCAGCTACTTACCCTGTTATGAGAATATGAGGGTGATAGGAAATCCTTCTCTTTTCTTTTTCATATAAAGCATAATAATTTAAAAGTCTTTAAATGCATCCTTCATCTAATATGCCAAATGAAGCTGTGATGAGGAGGGCTCTATTTCCTAGTTCACAGGATAAGGTAACTCAGTGAAAGTACTTTGTATTATGTTGTATTAGTGGATGGATATTCTAATCCATATATATGCTCCCTGAAGAAAATATAAGAGTGGAGTGAATAGAAAACCCACAGACACTAGTCTAAATATTGATAATTGTTACTATTTCTTTCTGAATCATGTACAGTAGAAGGCAGACAGAAACATCTGAAATAATCCAGTTGGAAGTGAATTTAGGAAATCCCTCCATCACTTATAAATAGAAAAATATCACTTGTGCATCAAGAACAAAGAAAGAAAGATGAACCATGATAACTAAACAGGATATGTGGATGCTGTGTATTGTCTGGTAAGGGATATGCTACTTAGGCACAACTCTCTTTGGACTTATCACTTAGATCCTATGATGTGCTGGGTTTTGGTTTAGCTTATTATAATTTACTTTATGCCTTGTTGTTACATCTTAGAAGCTCATTCTTTTCTAATGAGAGAAAGCAATCAAGTGAACCTTAATATGAGGGAAGATTGGGTGGAACTGGAATGAGTGGAGGGGTGAAAGCTGTGATTGGAATACATTGTATGAGAAAAAATATGTGTTGAATAAAAGTTGGAAAATTAAAAAGAAGAAAGCAAAATACTTTCATCTCAATGGACTAGATACTTATATTTTTATGGATTTGCCTATCTGGACATAATGTACATGTCAAAACTAACATCTAGTATCTTAATGAATACTTTATACACCACCATGGTATTCAACACAACATTACTTATTGTGTTTGTGTGTTTAATTCTTTTTGTTTTTAAATCCCAATCATTTTCACCTCCCTCCCCACATCCCAGATCCTCTGATCCTCCTACTCTCCCAACACACCCTTCCAGTACTCCACCCCTGTTTCTCTTCAGATACATGTGGGCCTCCCATAGATATATCAGCCAGCCATGGTATATAAAGTTGCAGTAAGACTGGGCATTTCCTCTTTTATTAAGGATAGAGGAAGCAAACCAGTAGGAGTAATGGGTCTCAAAATCAGGCAACAGAATCAGAGACAGACCCTCATCCCACTGTTAGTAGTCCCACAAGAAGACTAAGCTACATAACTGTAACATGTATGCAGATGGATTAGATCTGTCCCCTGCAGGAGAGTACTGGGAGAGAGAGAGAGAGACAAATGGAGTCTGGGGCATCTCTGTGATGATCTAGATCCTAGAGCAATGGAAACTCTCAGGAATCAATGAGGGTGTCCCTAACTAAGACTCTTAGCAATAAGGGATATGAAGCCTATACCAGCCATCTCCTATAACCAGGCAAGAATTTCAGTGGAGAAATTGTGACACCAACAGAGCATTATTTCTTACCAACAAACTCTCTTCACAGGCAGATAATTAAAACTTTATGTAACTAGAGTTTTCCTGCCTGGCCCACAGTCAGGACAAATCTTTGTCACCCACCAGTCACACAGCCGCTCAGACCCAACCAAGTAAACACAGAGACTTATATTGCTTACAAACTGTATGGCCATGGCAGGCTTATTGCTAACTGTTCTTATATCTTAAATTAATCCATTCCCATATATCTATACCTTGCCACATGGCTTGTGGCTTACCAGCATCTTCACATGCAGTTTGTCATGGCAGCAGCTGGCAGTGACTCCTTCTGCCTTCCTGTTCTTTCTTTTCTCCTCTCTGTTAGTCCTGCCTATACTTCCTGCCTAGCCACTGGCCAATCAGTGTTTTATCTATTGACCAATCAGAGTAATTTGACATACAGACCATCCCACAGCAACTTTAGGCCAATATTCAAGTAATCCACTAGGATTAATATGGTCTCCACCTTATTTTATCAGCTATCTTGTATTAGTGAAATGGCCTCTCCAAAGAAGATTACCATTCAAGTGGTGTTTGCATAGAGGGGCTGTGACAGAGCTCTCCAGGAGGTGGTGTATGATTTTCATTAGCATCCAGTCTATTGTATGCTTTCTTTTTTAGCCATCATTTATAGGTCAAGGAATTATGGTTTGGAAATTGGAATGTTTCCACTCTATATCATCTCTAGTGATCCAGAAAATAATCCTTATCACTGCCATGACTTTATAGTTTGCGGTCCTAGAAATGTGGTTTTGGGAGCTAGAGTACTACTGCCTGGAGACACCACAATTATTTCTTCAAATTAGAACCTTGTATTTCACCCTAGTCAGTTTGAACTTTCAATGTCCTTATGTGAGCAAACTGCTATAGGATTAACAGTGCTAGGAGATGTGATTGGTCTACACTACTGAGAAAATTTTGAGTTGTTTTTCTATAATGAAGGTCTAGAAGATTATGTCTGGATTACAGCAGATCTTTTAGTGCTGTGGTCTGTGTTACCATGTCCTGTGATTAATGCCAGTGGAAAACTGAATGTAAAACCAATCTATGTAGGATGATACAGAGCCCATTACATTCAGAATGAAGTTGGACATCACACATACAGGATAACAAACAATACCTTCTTAGACACTTGGTTATTGTAGGGAGAAATAGATAATGAATGGGAGAAGAATAAGTTTATGAATACCAGCTAAAACCACACAAAGAGTTTCAGAAATGAAGATACATTTTGTTATGAACACCTTTTGTTTAAAATCATGCATATATGTCAGTATTTGTGATGAAATTCATTATTTCCCATAAGCTATAAAATTTTTATAGTTAGTTATAAATACTTAAGTGAGAAAAAAATTCTAGCATGGCACTGAGGGTTAGGCACAAAGTCCAAAATTTCTTTTATTTTCTTATAACATTTTCTCTTATAGAAAATAGATTCATTTGTCCTTTAATATGTCTGGATTACAATTTCCCTTTCCTCTAATCTTCCCAGTTCCTTCTGACCTCTCTTCCTCTCTGGATGCATTCCCTTTCTGTCTCTCAATAGAAACAAACAGGCTTCTAAGAGAAAACAACGAAATATGACAACCTAACATATAGTAAGATGAAGGAAAAATATCATGTCCAATTTGACAGAGTTGCCTTGTTTCTTCCTGATTTTCATAGAGTCGCTGTGATTTTCTCTTCATTTAAGTTCATGTTGGCCTGGGCTTGATGTAAACTCTCTTTAGTATCTTGCAGTATATCTCTTGTATCTCTAATTTCTCCAGTACTTCTATCATAAAGGGTGTTGAATTTTGTCAAAGGCCTTTTCTGCATTCAGTGAGATGATCCTGTGTTTTTTTTCTTTCAATTTCTTTAGATGGTAGATTACATTTATTGATTTTCATCTGTTGAAGCATCCCTACACCTCTACGATCTGAAGAGAAACCAGAATATAAAACCCTACACCTTTAAGATGAAACATAGTTGATCATTGTGAATGACCATTTTGATGTGTACTTGGTTGGATCTTTTGCTTTTAATAGATTGAGAAAATTTGCACCTACATTCATGAGGGAATTTGGCCTACAATTCTCTTAATTTGTTGGCTGTTTATTTGGTTTGGAAAATGAATTGGACAATGTTGCTCTCTTTAAATTTTGTTAAGTAATTTGAGTATTATTTGTGTTGGGTCTTCTGTGAAATTCTGTACTAAAAACAATTGGTTCTGAGGGATTTCTTTTTATTTTTATTTTTTGGTTGGAAGAGCTCAAATGACTGCTTCTATTACACAAGGAGTTATAATTCTGTTTAAATTATTTATGTGATGTTGATTTAACTTTGGTAAGTGGTATGCATTGATAAAATTATCTATGTATTTTAATGTCCAAGTTAAGTGGAGACAAGGTATTTAAAATATGTCCTTATGATTCTCTGGATATCCTTGGTGTCTGTTTTTATGTCATCTTTTCCTTTTTAATTTTTCTAATTTGGGATTTTTTTCTCACCAAATTTAATTAGTTTGGACAAGAGTATTTTAATTTTATTGATTTTTGTCAAGGAAATATCTCCTGTTTCATATATATATATATATATATATATATATATATATATGTAATGTTTTTGTTTCTATTTATGGATTTAAGCCTAAAGTTCAGTTATTTCTTGCTGTCTAATTTTGGGTATGATTTCTTTTTTTCTCCAGATTACATGTGCGCTGTTTTGTTAGTAGTATGAGATGTCTCTTCTTTTTTCATGTAGACGTTTAGTGCTATGAAATCTCATCTCAGAACTCTCTTCACTCTTTCCTGTGCTCAATTTTGGTATGCTTTATATTCATTGTCATTCAATTTAAAAAATCTTTAATTTATGTCTTAAGCCATTTTTTTCATTCAGTAATGAGTCCTTTATTTTACATGGACTTGTAAAGTTTCTCCTGTTTTCTTTTTTGTTGATTCCAGATATAAGCATGGTTTTCAGAGTGAATACATGTTGCTATTTCATTTTTTCTTGTATCTATTGAGACTTGCCTTGTATCTGAGTATGTGGTCAATTTTGGAGAAAGTTAGATGAGCTGCTGCAAAAAAGGTATTTTATTTTTGTGCATGTTTGAGTGAAACGTTCTGAAAGTACCTCTTAGGCCCATTTGCTTTTTCATATCAGCAACTCAGCACTTTTCCACTTAATTTTTGTCTGCATTGCAGGTCCACTGATGAGAGGGGGACATTGAGTCTTCCACTATCAATGTTTGAGGGTCAATATGTCATTTAAGATGTAGATTGTTTTATTTATGTACTTGTGTGTTCTTAATTTTACTGTGTAGATGTTAAGAATTGCAACATCATCTACATTGAGTATTACTTTGATGACTATGTAGTGTCCTTTCCTATTTCTTCTCATTTAATTTTGCTTTGAAGTATATTCTATCAGATATTAAAATGGCTACAACAATAAGATTCTTAGGTACATTTGCTTGTAATATATAGTTCTGGTCTTTTTACAAGAAGTGATGTCTATCCTTGATGTAAAGGCATTTCTCTTGAATGCAGAAGAAGAATGGATTCTGTTTTCACATCCATTCTATCAATGTGTATATTTTTCTGTGGAATTGCAATCACTGAGATTGAGAGATATTAATGGCAAATGATTGTTGATTCCTTTTATTTAGTTGTTGTTGTTATTGTGGTGTTTGTGTTAATAGTACTGGCCGTGGATGTATTGGTGTTGGTGAGAGTGTTTTTACTCTTTTGATTTGTTCATCTGGAATTATTTATTCCCTGTTTTACTAAGGTGTGGGAAACCTCTTTAGGTTATATTATTTCTATAGTGCCTTCTTTAGGGGAATATTATAAACAGTTATTGCTAAAATTTAGATTTATCCTCAAATCTCTTGTTTTATCCATCTACGGCAACTGAAAATTTTGGCTTGGTATCAAAGGTCTCTTGGAATATGTATAACATCTGCCCATGCTTTCTGACTTTTAAAGACTTCACAGAAAACTCAAGTGTTAGACTCTGCCTTTATGTGCTAATTGGTTAATTGATCATTTTCAATTTCAGCTTTCAATTTCTTTGTTTTATACATTCACTATTTTGATTATTCTGTACCAAGGGAAATTTTCCTTCAGGTCTAGTCTACTTGGTGTTGTGCTTACTTCTTATACCATTTTAGGTGCCTCCTTCTTTACGTTAGGGAAATTTCTAGTATGGTTTTGTTTAAATATTTTCTGTGCCTTTGACCTGATTTTCCTTTACTATTCTAATTATTCTTAGATTTGGTCTTTCCATAATATTCCAGATTTCCTGGATGCTTTGTGTCAGGAGTTTTTCAGATTTTACAATTTCTTAACTAAGGTATCTATTTCTTCTATTGTGTTAAGTGCCCGAGTTTCTCTTTTTCATGGTTTATATTCTATTTCTGAGACTTGAATCTCAGGTTCCTGTTTGAGTTCCTACATTTTTAATTTACAAATCTTCCTCAGTTAGGGATTTCTTTATTGATTTTTTTTCCACTTTCCCATCTTGAACTGCTTTATTCATTTTCTTCCATTGCTTATTTGTGTTTTCATAGATATTTTTAAGAGATTTACTCATTTCATCTGTAAGGACATCTATCATTTTCATAAATGGTATGTTAACATCTTTGTCATGTGCTTCAATTATGTTGCAATACTCAGGAGCTACTGCAGTAGTGTTGTGGGCCTCTAGTGGAGTCATTGAGTTCTGGTTGTTATTGTTTTTATTTTTACATTGATGTCTAAGCATCTAGATTTTGGATGATTATAATTATAGGTGTTGTTATCTGTGCTAGTCTTTATTTTGTAAATGCTGTGCTTTTTAAAATTTCTTTTGCCTTCTTCCATTGTTTGGAGGGCACTGTGGCTGCATGTTACCTGTAGGACTTTGTCTTGGATCGTGATAATTTATATCCCTGTGGCTTCGGGGTAAAATATGTTTCTAGTTATTGTGAGATGACACTTATAAATGGAGATGAGGGAGGGAGACAAAGACAGAGGCAGAGAGAGGAAACAAAAACAAATGGTAAAATTAAAAATAAATTTAAAAAACAGAAATATTACATTTAAAATAATAAG